CAATCAATGTGTATATGTGTGTGTGTGTGTGTGTGCGCGTTGGTGCGGGTGATCGCTCTCATCAACACCCCTCCCCCTCACTGAATCAAAGTGTGTGTGTGTGTGTACGCAGGTGCGGGTCATCGCTGGTGTCTGCCCTCTACTACCTTCACTCACCCCCCCACTCAATCAATGTGTGTATGTGTGTGTGTGTACGCAGGTGCGGGTGATCGCGTCCCAGCTGGTGTCTGCCTTCTACTACCTTCACTCACCCCCCCACTCAATCAAAGTGTGTATGTGTGTGTGTGTGTGCGTAGGTGCAGATGATCGCGTCTCATCAACACCCCCCCCCCCTCACTGAATCAAAGTGTGTGTGTGTACGCAGGTGCGGGTGATCGCATCCCAGCTGGTGTCTGCCCTCTACTACCTCCACTCCCACCGCATCCTGCATCGTGACATGAAGCCACAGAACATCCTGCTGGGCAAGGGTGGGGTCATCAAACTCTGCGACTTCGGCTTCGCTCGCGGCATGAGCACCAACACTATGGTGCTCACTTCCATCAAGGTAGCTACATGATGCATGCATACTGTATACATCTATAAAACTAAAAACGGCGGGTGGTTGGCGGATGCTCTAGTGTGGTTTGCTCCTTCTTTTGTATCAAACGTCTATCGTCTTTAAATCTATCCTCCTTTTTGTGTTTGTTACTCTCTTGTAACACCTCTAATCTTCGGCACTTATATGACCTTATTGTTTTGCAAGTGCCGTAAAACTCTTATAAAAGTAAACTAAAAACTTAAAACCACGCATGAAAGTGCATTTGAATTTCAAGGCCCCAAGATCTGGAATGCTTTGCCAAGTAATTTAAGAGAGATCTTTTTTTTTTCCCCATCAAATGTCAGCAGAAGTCGTTTCTGTTTGTATATTAATAAGATGAATAGTTGGAGTGATTTTCTAGTAGTCAGAACACAACGTTTTATGTTACTGTTGTACATTGTCAGACCATCAATGATTTATTTATAGAGGCACCAGCCATCCATGTCCAGGTGCTGTTTTAGCCAGTGTTGTACATTGTATTGTATTGTAAAGCGCTCAGAGCCTGTGTACTTTAATCGGGGTTGAGCGCTCCATAAATGTCATTTATTATTATTATTATTATAATACCTTTTTTTTGTTTGTTTGGACTCAACTTGAATTCACAATTTATTATTTTTTTAAATTTGTGAATTCAAGTTGTTTGCGAAATGGTAAAATGCTACTGTATTGAAACACACGACTACAAACGACTCAAATCATAAAATCAAAATATTGGGGGGAAATGAGATGGAGGTACTTTTTTCAACATTTAGAATTTGCAATTTGACAAAATATTTCTGTAGCAGATACAACTGCTATCACAGATTAGAAACTGAAACGGCAATTTACAAAACATTCCAAGTTTTAAGCTTGTATATGATCTATGTAATGATGTCTGTGATACATGTGACTCAAAAAACAGCTCAAGGTTTGGTCTTTGGCTCCCCGTGGGTGGTTGGCGGGTGCTCTGGTATGGTTTGCTTCTTCTTTCAATTCAAACATCTATCGTCCTTATCTCCCCTCCTTCTTTTTTATGTTTGTTACTCTCTTGTAACACCTCTAATCTTCTGGCGTTCATATGTCCTTATGCAGTTGAGAGTGCCGTAAAACCTCTACTAAAACTAAAATTTCTCTCCTCTCTCCCCCCTTCCATATAGGGCACACCCCTGTACATGTCCCCAGAGCTTGTTGAGGAAAAACCCTACGACCACACAGCCGACTTGTGGTGAGTTGTTGGTGTTGTCGTTGTTGCTGCTGCTGCTGCTGC